TAACTAAACAAGTACTTAAATTATAAGAGAAGCAAGAAAATATTTTTAATCATTTGAGTGGTTAAGTACACTCGCTCCGAAGTATATGAAAAATACGTGCAACTTTTCCTTGTGAAAACTTCGACAGTCCAAAAATAAATGGATCATGCAAATGGAAGAATGTTAATGGGCAGGTCCACGCTGCTTTTGGGAGGAAATTAATAATAAAAGAAAAGAATGAATTAAGTTAAATATGTTATCAAACATGACTAGGGTTTAGCCTTAGCCTCAGACTCTGTTATGGAGTTGGGCGGTTTCATGACATTACGTGCGATGGATGGCGTGGCAGAAGAGGGAGGGACCTTGAAAGGAAAATGGCCCACTCCACGGAAGTGGAGGGTGGCTCGGCCTCCTTACGCGGCACTTCTTTGTCTCCTTTACCGCCCCTTCTTTGTCTTCACCACCGAAAGTGCTTCAACGGTTATATCCAGTTTGTCTGTGGGAAGAAAGAGCTCAAAACTCTAGGACCCAATTAATTAAAGTAAAATTTTAATGGATTTGAGGGTAAGGTGTTAATTTGTCTGTATCGTTTGGCTTTTTTAGATCCTATAACTTTTCTTCTTTAGTTGGCACGTGTTTTATATTTTATTTATGCTTAATAATTTAATTAAATTGCAATTTAAGCTTTAAATAAACTAATTAATATCTAACCTAGAAGAATATCTAACCAAAATCTATACTGGCCTCTACTTTTCTTTTTGAACTGTAGCTTGAAATTACTGGCCTCCACTTACCTTCTTTATATTTGGACTTCGGTGTTTATATTAAATCATTACCTTTAGATTTAAGACGGTTGTATCCACTAAGCTCATCAATCATTTGACATTAAGTGCTGTCGGTAACCTTTTCATGCGTTTCTAAACAAGTGTCGAATTATAGGTCAATTAAGATTTAAATTTTTAATTTTTTTTAAATATATTAAATTAAGATAAAGGCGTATTCTTTAAATTCGTTTAAAAATATTAATAGAGATTAATTTTAAAATACATACAAAATTTATCTTAAAGACACTCTAAATATAAGTAAAAAAACAAAATAAAATAAAATAAAGTGACATTGGTAATTAAAATTTGGATTTTGATACTAAAATGTAGCAGACGGGATTCATGGCTTGACAGGAGGCAAATCACTGGCAATTTTTCAAAGATTTGAAAGTACACAAAGGAAGCATCGATCGAAATTGAAAATTATTGTTATGACGATGATGAATGGAGTATTTGACAAGGTAATCCTGTTATTATCAAAATCAGGAAAATTCACATCACTTATGCATATATATATATATACACATACACCTGAATATTATATCATGAAAGTTGTTTTCAGGAAATCAATGATCTCCACTCTCATGACAAATTGCTCCTGTTTTAGTGGAAGTCCTACAACGCGTGAAGACCGCACCGACTTTCAGGACTTGTAAACCCCTTTTTAGGGATCCATAATATCAGTTTATATCATATTTTAATTACCGTGCTTTGGCCTCAACGTTCCAGTCTCAGTCAAGATGTTACGTCCCCAACCCAGGCGAATGGGAAAATTAATTGGAAAGAAATCAACCGACAAAATCCATTTAATGACCCACAATTTCAAAAAATTAAAAATAAACAAGTCTTGGTTTGGGCTTTTAATAGTTAGAATGGACCAAGTCTCATTATGAAAGAAGATTAGGTTAGACTTGAAACTTTTATAACAGCGCGGGCTTTAGAGACAAGAGCTGGATCAAAGTCCAAAGATCTTATCATTTTTTTTTTTTGGAAGAGAAGATATTTATCATCATTTTTTTTAAAAAAATGGGAGGGCCAGACGGCATACACAGATGCAGAACCAGAATGGAAACTAACAATATGAACAAAACAAGAAATAAATTTTATGGA